GGTGTGTCGTCCGTCGTTTTAAGCTTTAACTTTCTCAGTGCCGTATAAACTCACGATCGCCACCATATTACGTTTATATTTATTCATTTGTTGTTACTTATTATTACGGTGAACCAAATAAATATGTTTGTGCATTTGTCGTTTTATAAATTGTGTTATAAACTTCATAATGGGATTGTTATTTCTTTTTCTTTTTTTTGTTTTTGTCCAATTTATTACTTCGGTAATATTAATTAAAAGGAAACTTTATACAAATTTTCGATTCATCCTAATATAATTGTGTTATAGAAATATAATATATGATTATTTTATAAGAAATTATTTTAATTTTATTAAAATGATTTTTTTTTTCCTTGAAGTAATATTTGTGGTTATTGATTCATAATTTAATGATGTCGGTGGAACATCATGAGAATTAGTTTCAGTTTTAATAGATTGCATTTGTTGGATCTATTCATTTCAAAGAATAAAAATACGTATGTACATTTTCTTATTTTCTTTCCATCAATTTGAGATTAAAATTCTATCTTTTTTATTAGTTTTGTTCAAGTTAATTTCTAAGTTATACGATCGTATAACTTAAATTGCATTTATGATCGATGTCGCATCGTTTCAATCTTGTGATAGTATACAAATCGAATCGAATTCATTGAAATCATCGAATAAAATATCTGTTATTAATAATATCAAATTGTGATAAATGAATTCTCAACGGTAAGATGATAGATTTTTTCATCCGATTCAAAGTCTCCAACATAAGTTGATAATCTCAAGGAGAGATGTTCTTTTTTTTTAACAAAAAAAAAGAAAGGAAAAAGAAATGAATCGTATCGACGATTAAACATCTTCCCCCTCCCTCTCCCACTCAGCCACCCTCTCCACGTATTTAAGTAGATAAGAAAACTAGTAACAAAGAGAGAGGCATCAACGCAAAAGTAGGAAACAAAACGATATCCCAGTTTCCGGTTTAATGAATAACGTCATCCGATAAGAAAAATTAGACGACTTATACACACAGAGTGTACCACACAGAGATGGTATCGATCGTGGTTGGTGGTGGGTATCTTCAAATGCTCAAATGAAAGAAGGAAAATAAATAAAAAGAAGAAGGAGGAGGTGGAGGAAAATGGAGAGGAGAAGGGGAAGAATGAAAAGGGGAGGGGGGAAAAAGAAAAAAGAAGAAGAAGAAGAAAAAAAGAAATCAGAATACCGAGAGAAAACGACGAAGAGAAGAAGTAACAGAGATTATGTTCGAGGATGATGGCACCACGCGTATCAAGTAAGTGAAGTAAGTGAGTAAAAGTAAGTAGTGTATGGGGGTTTGTCGAATAGCAAGGAAAAAGAAAATGTTTTGGGGTAAATAAGCAAAATAAATTTGACAGAGTGAAAAGAAAAAGAGAATTCTCATTTGAGGATAAGAAGAAGAAGAGAAGGAGGAGGAGGAAGAAGAAGACTATAGTATAGTTCTCGCGTAGTTAGGTATGAGAGAGGACAGGGACGCTGTTGGTGTGTGCCGGCATGGTGGCGCCACGTTGACGAGAGGATCTGGAGGAGAAAAAGGTATATAGAACTGATGGTTAATAGTAGAGTGGTGGAGGTGGTTAAGGTGGAGGTAGTAGAAATAGTAGAGAGAGGTAGGGGTGGTAATTGAGGAGAAGGAAGGAAGGCGTGAGTTGCGCGTGCGGTGAGATTTAGGCGAGGAGAAGGGAGAGGAAGAGGAATAGGGATAGGTGGAGGAGGATGATGATGATGATGATGAAGAAGAAGAAGAAGAAGAAGAAGAAGAAGAAGAAGAAGATGAAAAAGAAGATGAAGAAGGAAGAAGAGGGCAGCTAAGTCGTCATAGTAGATAGGCAGGCGACTGTGGATGCGAAATCCGTCGTCGTCCACAGTCGCCCACGGCGAGTAGGTGTCGGATAGGAAAGGAAGAGACTACTATTGCAAATAATAGTATAGTAATAGTAGTAATAGTAGTTGAAATAATTGCAAGTAATATTAATGGTAGTAGTAAGATTTGTAGAGAGGGGCATCTGATTGGTCGGGCACTGCCGCCGCCGCCGAGAAATGACTTTTCTATGGGGGTGGGAGAGATTGTAGGCGGAGTGGGAAAATAACCGGTGCGCCGACTCGTCAAAAAGGGGGAGCAAAAGCACGGAGGCGGTGGCTCCTCCGTACTATAGCCGCCATCATCGTCCGTCCCATCCTATAGTAACCTTCCAAAGCAGTACCCGATCTTTCCTCTCCAATGTGTGTTAGTTGGGAGCGCGTTTACCGGTGTTCGCTGCTTGAGCGAGTCAGCTAGTGTAAAACGGACGCTTCTGTTTCGGCCGATCTCTTACCATGCCCTAACATCGACGGAACAACCTGAACATTCCTCGCTTCTTTTTCCCTAGTTCCTTCTTCTTCTCTATTCTATTTCTATCTGTCACCCTTATATATTATTTTTATTTTATTTTATTTTATTTCTTTCTTTCCTTCTTTCCTTTCCTTTCCTTTCCTTTCTGTCTTCCACTTCTGCTTCCTTTTCTTCTTCTTACCTTACCTCACCTCACCTCACCTCATCTCACCTCACCCCCTTCCGTATCTTCTCTTCTTCTTATTCGTTCGTTTCGTTTCGTTTTTTTATTTTTTTTTTGTACCCTCTCCTCCTCTTCCTCCTCCTCCTTCTCCTCCACCCTCTTTACTCTTCTTCTTTTACCGATACACACCCGCCCCACCCCGCCAATATCATCTTCCGATCTCTTATTTTTTCCCTCCCCCTTTCGACTCTCCAATCCACCCGTCAAAAAAGGATCTCTTACCGTACGTTTCTTTTTTTCTCTCTTACTTTTTCTTTTTTTTCCCTTTCGTTATACTTTTCATTAATTTTTATTCCCTTGGAAAACTTCCTCCACCTCTCCTCATACGGCGGTGAAGTAAAGAAAGTTTTAATATCCTTTAACGAAGGAAAACAAGTGTAAAATAGTGAAGGTGGAGGAGAAGTGGAAGAAGAGGAGAAAGAAGAAGAAGAAGAAGAAGAATAAGAATAAGGTGAAGGGAGGAAAATTAATAAAAGAGCATGTCAAAGTAAAAAGCTTTCGTTCTCGTGAATATATATATATATATATATATCTTGAGTGAAATTTAGTTATTTAAAGTTTCATCTCTTGTGTCTTCTTATTTACAATTATTTCGTCACGAATAACAGTGCTGCTTAGTGCATGGTGTAATAGTGGTGATGGTGGTGGTGGTGGTGATGCGTTCTGTTCAATTCGAGAAATGACAAGGGACGGAAAATAATCAAAATCTCTAAAAGAAAGAAAAGGAATAGGGTGAAACAAAGAAAAGGGGAAAAATAATGTGTTGCCCGTGTCTTCATCTTCTTTGATATTATACTCTGCAACGTTAAATCGTAATAAAATGGAATAATAAAATGAGATTAATTTTAAATGGGATACGCCACAAGTGCGTCTCGAAGTATAAAGATAAAAATACAAATTAAAACAAAAAAGTAAGAAAGTAAGAAAGAAAGAAAGAAAGAAAGAAAAAGAAGAAAGTAGAATAATAATCACGGGGTGGAAGGGAACACAAAGAGAAGAGGAGAGACGAGTTCAATCTTGAAGGATGGATGATGCGATCGATCGGTCATCATCGTGATAAAAGTAAATAATTATTGAATGATAGATACATAGAATATACGTACATACGTATAGTTAAAATAGATAAAAAAACAAATAGATAGATAGGTAAAGAAAAAAAGATTTATATAGAAGAAACCAATAAGAGATTTGATTTGATGAAAGTTCCGGTGCGAAGATCAACACCTTAGGAGAAACGGAAAAGTGTCATACACACACGCTAGAAAAGTAGAAAAGTTAAAATCAAGCAAATCAAGTCAGCAAGCAAGCAAGAAAGAAAGGAAAGAAACAAAGTTAACAGTGGCGACATAAACCGCGTCCCGCCCATTCGAGATAGGTCAGACGCGAGGAACGAAGAACCAAGGCAAGTAATCTCGCCCTGGTGGATTGAAGAAACGAATTATAAACGAACCGAACGAACGAACGAACTGACTATTATTAATATTATTATTATTATTATAACAACAACGAACAAAACGGCGTTGAGGGCGACGGCTACGGGTGACGGCCACCACCAGCAGCAACACCCCAACATTAAAAATACCAATACAGAAACAGAAAAAAAAAGCAGAAGAAGATTCATTGTCATCATCTCACGTCTCTTATTCTTATTCTACTTGTCTCGCTAAAAAACAGCTTCCTTCTTCTTCTTCTTCTTCTCTCTTTTCTTTTTTCCTCCCACCACCGTTCTTACTTAGTGGGAATCATCATCGTCATCGTCAACAACGGCATCAGCATCATCAGCTATATACCGACGGAGGATTATTAGAAAACATCTCTTCAAATTCTTCTTCTTGCTTGCTACTACTGCTGCTACTTCTGTTGCTGCTGCTTTATTATTTGTGTTCTACTCTAAACGTTTTACGGGAAAGACAGTTGTCTATTTGAACAACGTTGTCATTTAAAAGCCAGAAAAACAAAAGACTCATTTCCTTCGTAATATATTTTCATTTTTCGCGTTCATTCTTACTTACTTTCTTAATATATCTTTTCTCTTTTCGGTTAACTTCCGAATATTTTTCTATTTTTTCTTATCGTTTTAAACGATCGAATATACTAACCAACCCCCACACCCCCGATTAAAGACACGCACCCTACTACTACTGTCGAGATATTTCGTGTGCGCACGATATAAATCGAAGAACTTATTTCTACGAGTATCTCGGGGGACAAAAAAAGTTGCTTAGACTCGTCGGCGGCCACTTTTTTTTTTACCACCACGTGAGAAGACGACACCCCACCCACCCCCAGATTTGTCGTCGTCGTCGTTGACGTCGTCGCTGCCTTCGCCTTCTTTCCACCCTCAACCCCTCCTTTTCTCCTTCTTTTCATCCACCTTCTTCTTCTCCACCTTTTCGACATATGTGTGTATATATATATATATATAGAAAACAAAAGAAGAAGAAGACGAAGAAACAAGGAGAAGAAATAAGAGAATACACGATTATTTGTTGTTTAACAAATTGAGAGAAGGATATATAAAGGAAGATTGATAAATAATTGGCCCCAAAGAAAGTGGAGAAGGGTATTTATTTCGAAGTATAAAGAAAAAGGGAAAAGGAAAAAATAATAAAATAAAAAGGAACGAAGACAGGAGAAGACAGAAAGAAAGAAAGAAAGGAAGGAAGGAAGAAAGAAAAAAGAAGAAGAAGAAGTGGTCGATAAGTGCGCGTTCGCGACGCTTCAACATCCGGCCCCGGTTGTGTTGTTTTACCTGTTTCTAAGAACAATTATTCGTCGGCATTCTTTTATTTTTTTCTTTTTATTTTATTTCTTTCGCGAGGATATTATTACGATAATATTTAAAAATAAAGAGAGAGAGGAGAGTATATAGGAGAGGGTGTGACAAACAAATACGGCCAATTTGAAAGATAATATTATTATTGCTATTATTATTGCCATTATTATTATTATTATTATTATTTTAATTTTTCTTCGCATTATTATTATTATTATTTGTTTGATTTTAAAGAAAGTAAGAAAAAAGGTGCACGAGAATGCGCGGCTGCGGCTGCGGCTGCTACACTATACGTCGTTGGACGAATTCTCGAAAGATCATCCGTAATAATAATAATAATTAAAAAAATATTATCTCTAAGACACATATATAAACGCGCGTAATAAATAATATCGTTAATAAAGTGCGGATTCGAAGAAAAGTTGTTAATCGAGGAAGGAAAAAGGATTATTAATCGGGTCCTTTAGATTGCGGTTCTAATCGCGTCCACCACGCGTTGTGTTCCTTTGGCAATGAAAAAAAGTATAACGCGCGAAACGCGAAACCGAATAGCTGCGCTTTCGCGAGTTATGACCATGACTCTTAGTCGGAACGTTTACGAAGGTAAGGAATTTATTATTTTATTCCTTACTAAAACAATCATTTTTGTTGATTTGTTTTCGTTAATATATTCATCATTACTCTTAATTTTATATTCGCACTTATTTATTTAATTATAATCTCTCACTTAATTAATTAATAACTTATATTATTTATTTAAAAAGATTTTGAAGTATTAACCCTGCACCACACACCGTAGTACAACCAACACAACACAACACGCAACGAGATACGAAAAACACGCGTATTTTTGTTCCTCCGTCGTCGTCGTCACGTTCTTCTTAATTCTCTCCATTCTTTTTTTTTCTTCTTCATCTTCTCTCTTTCTTTATTTTTTGTTTTTGTTTGTTTGGTCTCTTTGTAAGCGCATGTGCAGCGTATGCAACAACGTAGTCGCTTTTTACCCTCCTCTTCTTTGTCATCAATCCACATCCCCACTTATCGTCGTTGTTAGAGCTTTCTTCCACGCCGGCTAACAAACCCTCCAAGGATGATACACTATATGTATAAAGAAAATGAATATTTTGTTTAAATATATATATATATATATATATACTTGATGATAAGGGTTCATAGGGAACTTGGACATAAAAAGAAGTAGAACTTAATTTAACTAAGTTGGACGTTTCGTCCCTTTATTGGGACTTCTTCAGCAACTGGAAATTTTATTTTATTATAAATTCTTATTACGATACATGAGGTTCATACAATATAATTTTTCTACATATTACCTTAATCTTTAAAGTTCAGCGTCTTTTTTCTTTAATTCGAAATACATTTTTCTTTTTGTTGAGATATTCCAAACACAACACATCTAAACTTCGTTAATTCGATCGTTATTATTCAAAATCCTCAACAAAACTGTTTCAATTTAGACTAGTGTTTGTTAGCCTAGATATCATCAGTGTAAGGTGTCCTCTATTATTTATTATGGTTAAAATTTAAAAATTCCGTTGTAGATGTGATTTAGATTGTTTGTGTCTGTTATAAAATTCACCGTGTTATTATTCGATATATGATACATTTCGCTGATATTCCTTTTGTACCAATTTTCTTCCAAGTCTAAGATAATTGCTGCGTCAAATTTGAAATTATGTCCTGTTGTGAAATGATGTTCAGCTAACGCTGTGGTATTAGTTTTATTCACATTTATAGGTTTACAGTAATTTTTTCAATAAAGGGACGAAACGTCCAACTTAGTTAAATTAAGTTCTACTTCTTTTTATGTCCAAGTTCCCTATGAACCCTTATCATCAAGAATTATAATTTTGGACGAGAGAAAATACGGAATATATATATAGTAAAATAAAAGAGGAAAATAATATATAATGGAGGAGGGAAAAGAAAAAGAACACGCGTATATCACCCCCACTTAGATTTCGTTGAATCGTTGATACTATTCGTAACTCGTTCTTCTTCTTCTTCTTATTCTTCTGTTTCTGTATGTGTGCGTGTGTGTGTTTCTTCCTCTTCTTCTTCTTAGTTCCCGTGAAAACACAGTGACCCGATAACCCCAAAAGATCTTATCTAGTATTTGCAAGAATTTTTAATCCAAATATTTATTCCCAGAAATGATTTATTAAGTAATATACGAGCTCTAGAAATCATCATCTTTGTTGTTTTTAATCTCTTTATCACATTTGATGTATTCATATTTTTAGTCTTGTTCTTTTTCTCTTTTTATTTTTATTTTTCTTTGTCATTTCTAACACGAGAAATAAGTTTTCTTTTATTTTTTTTTTTTTTTTTTTTTTTTTTAATTTTTTTTTTTTTTTTACAATTTTTTGTATTTGTTATATCGCACGATATCTTGAATGTAGATTTTAATTGTTAGTCATTGTTTAATTAATGTGTAAATAAGTGTGTATGCGTGCGTGTGTACGGTCAAGGTACAAAAGTTTACATATAGAGATAAGAAAAGATTTATTTTTATCACGTAAATGGTTTCCACGTGAATTCGATCATTTATCGTTGACCATTGTTAAGTATTGTGGTTTTACATTTCTAACCAGAGAGTCAACGGACGTACGAAAACAAAGATAACTTTTTATTATTGTTCGTTTCGTATGACTCTCTCTCTTTCTCAATCCTATTCTTTTTTCTTATTATTATCCACTATAATATTTCGTCATCATTCTGTATTACGCATTCTTGTTTGTAAAATGTCGCATTGAAAAATGTTCCACGCTTTGCCACTTTTGGTTTTTTGCCCTCCTTCCCACCTTTTAATATTACTTATTTACTAAATCCGATTTTGTAATATATATTTTTCATTTGTTAAGTAATTTTGATATACCTACAATACGTATTTTTATTAGATGAGATTGTTTTGGTTTTATTTTTTGTTTGGTTTATTATTGATCAAGTAATTACCCCTACATCATATATTATAAATCATTTCAATTTAGATAATAATTAAAACGTGATATCAAAAATGTTTATATCTCATTTTGAATTGGTATCAAAATTATATACATAAATAATTTGTATATTATAATCTAATATATTATTACTGTTGAAATATTATAATATTATTCCAAATAATTCGACGATCAACCAACATTCACGAATACGTTCCATTTCCGTAGATAAAATTATTATTAAATTATGCATAATCCGATCCATTGTTGTTGTTATTGTTGTTATTAAATGAAACATTATTCGTAGGATGATGATACAACGTATGCGTACAAATATATGCATTTGTTATCGTTGATTTATAATTGACAGATTGAGCTTACAAAAATGGTACTAGATATTTGTATTATTATAACTGTAAAACAAGATTTTATAAGCAAAATTTATTTGAATATTTCTCTTTCTCCGTTTAAAAGCATTTCCGATTAAAATTGCGTATTAGTAGAAAAATAAAAAAAGATAAAAAGAAGGAGAACAAAAAAAAAAGTCAAAAAGACGACTTACACACACACACGCGTAGTTTCGATAAGAATTTATAATTCGCGTCATCACTATGATGATAAAAAATATGCGCGCATTAGTTGTTGATTAGACGTTAGTAATTATTAATATATATAAAAAGAAAAAAAAAAGATATTTTTCCCAACCCCCTCGTTTTAAACTGTTGGTTCTGTACGCATAGGTGGTACATATGTAATAATAATAATAATAAAAATAAAAATAATAATAATAATACGTCAGGCTGCATTAAGAGACGCGCAAATATTTTCTTTATGAGATATTCGCATCGTGTTATCTCTCTATTTTAACGATTATTATTTTGTCTTTCGTTTTTGATAACATAAAACGAATCTGCGTTTTACTTATGGGGATTTATTTCTATAACATGCATGCGTAATTTTTTTAATGCACACGCGTACACAGGTACGTCATATATTTTTCTTTTTTTTTATTATTTCAACTTGAAGAACTTGTGTGGTTCTCTTACACATTTGATTTTATTTCCATAAAGTTGAGATATTAGTATAATGAAGATGATAATAATAATAATAATAATAATAATAATAATAATAATAATAATAATAATGCGTAGAAACATATAGGTAAATTTGAAACAGAGATTTAATTAATTAATACAAAACTAATCACTATTTTTCATCTGTTGGTTGACATATATATTTATTTATTTTCATTTTTTAATTGTCACCTGGATATGTAATATTTTTCTAATCAAATTATACGATCTTATGCGTTGCACGATTTAATTTGTTTGCGTCAAAGAATTCGTTCAATTAATATTAATTTCTTTTAAAAATTGTTTGTTTTATTTTTTTACTAGACAATATGAGTCGTCACGTATTCACGCATCTCATATTAACAATTTACACAAATTTAATATTTGTCGTACTACTTTACCGATAATCAAAAAATTCTAGAAAAAAAAATTGATTTTACGATTTTTTTTCTATCCGATAATATTAATAATTATTAATATAAAATAAAATCCACATAAAAATATCTTGTAATATTCTCAATTTATATATTTCGACCAACAAATTATTACTTTTCACCGTCACACTTTTCACGTTCACATATACTAATATCATTATCCATTTTATGCATAAATATACATGTATAATATTACATCCGGATTATATTATATATAATCGAACAAACTTTCAAAACTGATTCTGATACTACCACAATCGTTACATATTATTTAATAAATTATTATTTAAACGATCATAATTATTACCTTATAATATATTTATACACGAGTGTATATACAAAAGAATTGTTATAAAAGTGGGATGAAAAGAAAAAGAAGAAGAACAAAAAGATTAATCAAAAATCAAAATCAAAAGAGACAAAGTAAATGAATAGGAAAGGAAAGGAAAGGAAAGGAAAGGAAAAGGCAAGAAAAGAAAATGAAGGCATCGAAATAGTTTTAATGTCATGGAAGATGGCGACCGCGCCCTATCAGGCTCAATGACCTCTCTCTCTCTCACTCTCTCACTCTTTCTCACTCTCTCTCTCTCTCTCTCTCTCTCTCTCTCTCTCTCTCTCTCTCTCTTCGGATTCAGTCGGAGAAATCGCGTTTACTTGGCTCACACGTAGCACGGTTTATATCCTTGTTTCTTAGTGCATTCATCGTCGTCGTCGTCGTCGTCGTCGTGTAATGCACACACGATATAATATAAAATATATTTTTTCGAGAGAAGAAGAAGAAGAGGAGGAGGTGGAGGAGAAGGAGGAGGAAGAAAAAACCTTGGGCTTCTACTTAAAGCTTTCTGTTGCTTCTTTCTCAGTGTTCTAAGTGCAAACGCGCCTTTAACTCTCTCCCTCTCTTTCTTTCTCTTTTACTCTTTGACTTTTTCTATCTTCGTCAGTTCTCGTTCCATAAGTTTATAGCAACCCATACTCGGTAGTATGCCGCCATCCGTTCTTTCCGACGTTTTTGATGACGTAAGCGTGCGCCCATCTTTTCGTCTCCGTCTAAGGGCATGGCTACCATTACTCTTTCTTCTAATTTTTTCTTTTTTTTTATCATACGCACCACCATCATAACACACGTTCACTTTAATAGATAAGTTTTCATTCTAATTCTTTCTATTCCATTTTTCTTTTCTTTTTTCTTTTCTTTTCTTTTCTTTTTAATATTTTAACATTTTCTTTAATCATATTTCTCCAATTTCTACACTCATAATCATTCCCCGTGTTTTATTCGGTCATTACGAATTTTTCTTTCCGTTCAATGTGTTTTCCCATCGTATTCTTCTTGTATTTTTTCTGTTTTGTTCTTTTTTTCTTTCTTTTGTAAATTTTTATTTCAACAGGATACGGTTAAAGATCATTGCTCTTTCCGTTTCCGTTTATGGTTGATTAATTCGCTTTTTTTTTCTTTTTTTTCTTGAAAATGATAATTACGGACGATGTAATGCAACTAGAATTGTTGTCTACGCTCTTTTATGTGTTTTAATTTATAATTTAAGATTATATATATATATATGTTTGGCATCGGTTTTTCAAGTCTTGTTAATTAATTTAACAATATTTATTGGAAATACTTTTGAAGTCAATTCTTATTTCGTTCGTAATTCGTAGCAAAAGAAAGAAAAAAGAAGAAAACAAAATACGCACCACGAAGTTTGGAAAATGTTGTCAAGGTTTTATATTTTATATCACGATTCGAATCTTTAGATAAATTTTCTTTTAAGTTAGATTAAAATTCGTGTGAAAAAAATTAGATTGTTTTTAAATAGTAAGTATTTTATTATATTTTCATGCGAAAAATATAGGACGAAAAGAAATTCATGGAATATATTATAAAATTCAAGAGAGTGAGAGAGAGATATGTGTGGTTTTATTCATGACCACGAAGGAGATAAGTGGTCTCTAGAAGAATTTCTAGGTTTTTTCTTTTTTTTTTTTTTTTCTTTTTTCTTTCTTTTTCTTTCCCGAGTATGTGGAAATGACGAAATGAACGAAGAAGATTCACGTTAGGATTAGAAAGTATAACCCAGAACCGCAGGAATTCTTTCCTAATAAGTCGAATATCTCTTAAAAGTGAACAAAATGATGTGTAGTATTACGTATGATTTTTTTTACTTTCTAGCCTACATTTAATTTATTCCACGAATAAAATAATAACGTTCGCAGTAGTAAATCGATCATTTTAATCGTAAATAAATTTGAATTTGACGAGAAGATACAGGAGGAAAAATAATAAACCAAGCAAAATTTATGATACTCGAAGAACAATTCTTTTTTTTTTTTTTTTTTACAGACACTGTTCAACGAGATCAAATAAATAACTCGTTAGATCGTCATTTTTATATTATTATATTACTATATTATATATTATATTATATTATATTATTATATTTATATTTTAATATATTACTTTTTTTTTTCGAGAAAACAAATGTGACATCGATCCGTGTATATTCGAATATGGAACGACAATGATGATAGTTCATGATTATTCGTTGAATCTTCTAGGATCATTCTTGTTTTCATTCTATCATCCATTTAAGATCACGATCCTATATACATCTAAAGCAAGATGTGTAACACGTTAAAGTAGAGAATACAGATCACGCAATTTGTTAGATGTGCCCTTTCCACATTCCATTGACATCATTGGTGGAATAACATCATCTTCATCATCATCATCATCATCATCATCATCATCATCATCATCATCATTGTCGTCATAGTTATCGTCATCCATCGATCATTGAGATGGAGTCCCAAATGAGATAAAATAAAACCGACACAAAAAGCAAAACATTACTTTGTTCATCGTTAACGTACGTTAACATTTAGTCCAATTAAAATTGATATTCTGCGACGATAATAATAAACTTAAACGCATATTAGTCTATAAGATAAAAACTTTGAACGAAATAAAATACGGCCAACCAACTGGGTCATTATTGATAAATAAATGGAACAAAGATACCTTCTTTTTTACGGAAGAATACGATTTTTTTCTGTTTTTTTTTTTTAAATTGTAAATCCTAATCTCTTTTCTATTCGTATATAAATAATTTTCTCGTTATTCAGATAGAAACATACATTATCCGATATATTTTTCTTTGTTTATTCTTTCTAATTTAATTATAAAAAGTAATTAATAAAAAAATAGGTAATATATATATATACCTAATATAGTTGGTTTTGAAAAAACAAATAATAAATTAGTTAATTTCAACGAGAGAGAGAGAGAGAAATGATCCACGATGCATGGACAGGAAGGCTCTGAAAAGGTCACGGCTGTGACCCGTTTCGACATCTTATCGGAGTGCACGCTGATCAAAGTTCGTTTTTCATATACGAACGACGAACGAAACTCTAACTGGATGGAAGATACAATACGTTTCGTTAGCTTTATAATAGTAAAATAACTAATTATACGTATCACACTAATATATAAATATAAATATATACATATATATATATGTGTTAGGGGGTGAATCAAAAATTCATGCGTTATTTCAGAAATAAATACAATATTTCACTTGCATATGAAGTAATTTTATTTGACTTAAAAAAAGAAAACAATTGCACACTATCCGAATATTATCAAACGAAAAATAATAATTCTCCTAATTTATCGAATAAAATTAATCAAGAGATAAAAAAAGTAAAGTAAAATACGTCAGCACAGAATTTGTCATGGGATTGTGATAGGGGAAAGGGCTATTAGAAAGTCTTGTTTAAATATATAAACGATCCTAATATCATCGTGTATTTGATAAAGGTGAAAAGTTGAAAAGAACGTTCAATATGATCCCGTTAATAAAATAGATTAGGAGACAAAGGTATTTTTCTGTTGTTTAAATTACACTGAGATATCGAATCTCGGGTTTCATGAACGGTGGTTCACGAATCACGTATGGGAAATAGTAGTAGTAGTAGTAGTATATGCTAGAGAAGAGAAAATATAAGTGGGGGAGGGAAGATTTGAATCCCTGGTGTGTGGCACCACAATGATAGGGCCGAAAAGTTATGCAGGCTCGAGTGGGCTCACGGTCATGTGTCATTTTTCCCCATTTCCCCTCTCGTATTCGTGGTGGTGGGTCTGTTTCGAGTATGTGTGCGTGCGTGCGTGCGTGTCGACGTCCTCCTGGTCGTCGTTGTCCATAGTTGTCATAGTAGTAGTAGTAGTAGTATTAGTAGTCGTCGTGATCGTGATTGTCATCATAGTGTTCGGTACCTCGGTAACTCTCATTTCGACGCGTGCGTGGCATATCTCGTGTATAGCAAAGAAAGAAAGAAAGAAAGAAAGAAAGGGCGTCGTACACGCAGCATACACAGGGCAGGCAGGCAGGCAGGCAGGCAGTAGGCACCCACAGCAGGGCGACAGGGTGTCGTGCGAACCCGCGTGCGAAAGGACCGGTAAGAGAGAGGGGAGAAAAAGGAGGGGTGGGGTCTGTCTTCTTGCATATATATTCGTGTATTTCTATATAATTATATATGTGTGGTGTATGTATGTATCTATGTGTGTTAGATAGCAACCTATATCTATCTGTACACGTAGATGCGTCGTAACAGATGACAACGGGGATCCTCCCAGAATTGCAGGCGGCTTTGCAACTTTGGTATTGGCGATGATGATTTTGTTGTTGTTAATTATTTATTTTTAATTGTATTTTATCCCTCTGTTATTTATATATATATATATATATATTATAATATGTTGATTGTTCTTTTTTTGGTTTGTGTGAATGAAGAAGAATTGATATTAAATAATCAGAGGCTTTATGGGGGTTTTTTTACCTTTGATTGAATTAGATTCCAGCGAGGACGAAGCAGGTGGTGCGGACGTAGGCACGAAGGTGAAGACGGCGACAGCCGAAGGTTGTGCCGCTGAAGCCACGTCGGCCGTACTCGACGAGGATGCCGGCGGTGGCTGTGGCGGTGGTGATGGTGTTGGTGGTGGTGTTGGTGCCGGTGGTGCCGGTGCCGGTTCCGGTCAACAAATTCTTGGAATCGGCATCGGCGGTGGTGTCGGCGGCCTCAGCAACGATGGAGTCAATCGAAGAATTAATAGTGGTGGTGGTGGTGGTGGTGGTGGTAGTAGTAATATTAGTAGTGTCGAAGGTGCCGATGATAACGAGGAAGGACCAAAGATAAAACAAGAAAACGGCCAAACTTGTTCACACTGCGGTATACACTTCCGGAACGCTCACGTACTTCAACTTCATATGGAGGATGCACACAAGACGTTGTTGTATTCGTCAGACAAAAATGATCTTAACGCACAATTTTCACAAGTGGTTAGAAAAATTCTTCTTTTCTTTTTTTTTTTTTGCGAAAGACTAATAACTTTGTTTTTTTTTTCTCTTCCCCCTTTTTTTAGTCACTTTTTTTTATTCTAAATTGTAGATAGATAGATTTATTTTTCTCTATCGATTATCGTAAATGTGTATTACCTTTTTTTGTGTGTATATATATATATATATATATTTGTTTTTTTGTTTTACAGTCGTGCAAAGTGTGCAACAAAACTTTCGCCAATGTCTACAGATTACAAAGGCATATGATCAGCCACGACGAAAGTGCTGTCTTGAGAAAATTCAAGTGTCCGCATTGTGAGAAAGCATTCAAATTTAAACATCATCTTAAGGTACAATGAAACGCTATAGTGTCGTTTAAAAAAACAATTATATTCGTTTTTACTATGTATTTATACTTTATGTAATATTTTTTTATATAATATTATTATTTCTACTTTGATTTTTTTTTCTAGGAACATTTGCGTATACACAGCGGCGAGAAACCGTTTCAATGTAACAACTGCGGCAAAAGATTTTCGCATTCTGGTTCTTATTCGAGTCATATGACTTCGAAAAAATGCTTAATCGTTAATTTGAAGAAGTCTAGACAAAACAGCAGCAACATCGGTAATATAGAAAAATGTTCGAAGAAAACGCCCACGCAATCGGTTCCTGGCGTCAGACGCGATGATACATTTCTTGCGGCTAACAATAATACTTTTTTACCGATACTGCCAAAGCTTTCTCCTTCGGATTATCAAGAAATACGAGAAGGTGGTGGTAAGGAAATTAGATATGCATATATATAAACATAGGATACGCACAGACAAATATATTTACACATACGATAAGTCATTAAAACATTGAAATATTAACTCCCTTATATTAATATTTAGTTTAAAAGTACTGCGTGTGCACAATGTAAAATTAATTAATCAAAAATCTTGATTGCCAGTATTTTTAAACATCTCAACACCATAGAAAAATAATCACAATTTCATTTGGAATTGATCCACAGGTATTTACGACGGACCAAGTCTTTTACCCTCGATGATGGGTTTTACCAATTACTTCCTACAATCCTCATTGGGAAAGATATTAAATCAAGTGCATTCCAAACGGCTCGACGAAATAGCAGAAAAATTTGAGACCCATCGAGAAACGATGAGTCCATTGACTGCAGATTCGGAGGGTACGGAAGGTACAGAAGGGAAGGAATCACCTGCTCCGATTGGATCGCGAGGGTTGGACGCTGTTCGTCGTATTTTAGAGACTGTCAATACCTCTGTCACTAAGGAATTGTTAGAAGAAAATGTTAAAAAATTGTCTACCTCAATATTCAGTTCTCCTATAATGAGACGAGAATTGGAAAACGAGCTTGGAGAATATCATGTACGTATTTGATATTTCAAATATTTAATATATTAATTCTCAAATGTTCTAATTAGTTTTCTATTTCTCTCTCTCAGCGTAGAATAAATAATTTATTAACCATGCATTAATCGTACAGGATCAGGATAGCGAAATATCGAACGAGATGCCCCATTATGATTGGTCGTTAACAACGGATCAGTATGATTCTCAAAGCGAAGGTTTAGCTGCCAAATTGGAAGATGCTAATCAACCGCAAGGTGTGACCACCAGGTTATCTTCTAAAAGAAAAGCTGACGATAGTTCCGAGCAGGATACCGATGACGAAGAAGATAGCAATCAAACGCATACGGAGAATGGTAGAAGAGTAAGGGCGAGGTCTTTGATAGACGATGAACAATTGGCTGTTCTCAAAGGTTACTATGCTATCAATCCGAGGCCAAAGAAAGAGGAAATTATTATGATTGCGAATTATATTAATTTCTCAACTCGTGTCGTCCAGGTAAATATCAAATAATAATTGTCTATTCGTTATAATATCTGCAATTATAATTTTCTTCATAGATTTATTTATAGTTTTATTTCTATTATTTGTTATATTTGTTATATTTTATTGATCAAGACATTAACAATGTTTTAAAATTGTCCCTGAAGTTCAACGTCATTGTTAACGTGACAATAAAACAAGTGCATTCAACCTATCTGCGTTCAAGCATGCACAAACATTTAATAATACAGCAAACACAAGAAACAAAACTGTTCGCATTGCGAATAATTAGTCATTTTTATTGAACATGCATGTCGTGTTAGGTTTGGTTTCAGAATTCTCGTGCAAGGGATCGTAGAGAATCGAGAATTCCAGCATTGTTACCACTTTCAAGTCCAACAACCTTTGAACAACCCTTGGATTTGTCGAAGAAAGATGTCCTAACGATATCCCTCGTAAAAGATGGCGATACATCTAATGGAAATATTGCTTCTCCTCCTTGCGAAAAAAAAGAAGACACTTCTTCGACTGTTGCAAATCAAGAAACTGACGATCTCGAGGATTCGCCTCTTGTTATCGACGAAGAAATGAACGATTCTGTCGAATCGAAACGTATGCCTTCCGTGCTCGATGTTTCGCAAAAGGTATTTCTTTTTACATATATATACAGGGTGTCCTACATAACTCTAGTCACGATTTTTCAAGTACTTGCGATAATCTGACAAAAAAATACTTTAAACAAAAGTTGATCTGTTTTTGATTGACTATACATTGCAATTGAATATCTCTATATTGACATAACAAACGTACGATAAGCAAAATAAACTTTGATTTTTATTTCAGAGCCAAAATCTTGGGAACGCCAAAAAGGAAAATGAGAATCCAGTTAAGATCGAACCGCCTACCACAACAGACACCGAACAAGGACTTTATTTTTGTGATCGTTGCGACAAAACTTTTTCGAAACATAGTTCACTCGCGAGACACAAGTATGAACATTCCGGTGAGTCGATAAATTATATATTACTAATTATTTTCTTACTTATATATATAAAAAAACTCATGGAATTTGTATCATTCCATATTCGAGACTTTAATATTCTATTCAATTCTAATTTCATTTAACAATGATGAATTAGAAAAATCTTTAAACCGTTCAAAGACAGCCATTTATTATAGTGTTTAGTATCTTAAAATAATTATTTATATTGAATTATATGTAAATTTGAATTTCGAATTGAGATCTCAAATCTTGTTGATTCCATCAATTTTTCCAAGACTCTAAGCAGCACATATATTCTTCTTAGTGCTTACGACTGAATTATTATTAATGAATAATTAGCATTAACAAATTAAAATTGATATTAAGAAACATTATTATACACTTCGAACAAAATATTCCGATTGATTTTTCTTGTACAAAATGTGTTAATAATCTTTTTGTTTCTTTCAGAAATATTAAACCAAATGAAAACAAAAATCATTTCGTGATATCCCAAATGAAAAATGATACATTTCTTTGATTAAAATCAATTACACATATATGATTAAAATATGATATTATTTTTTTGTTTGTTTAGGGCAAAGGCCACACAAATGTGTGGAGTGTACAAGAGCGTTCAAGCATAAACATCATCTAACCGAACATAAGCGGTTGCACAGTGGCGAAAAACCCTTTCAGTGCTCCAAGTGCCTCAAACGCTTTTCTCACTCCGGCTCCTACAGCCAACACATGAATCACCGTTCCTCTTACTGTAAACCTTACAGAGAGTAAATTTTGTCTTCGTTCCCCTGAACCCCCAATCCCCACCACCCCATCCCACCCACGTTCGCGCTTCGTTGGCCGTGTGTTATTCTTTATTTTATTTTATATATTTTCTAATGATAATTATACTAAAATGGAAAGAAACACAATTGCATTTAAGTTTTCTATTTTTTCTCTTTCCGTTCTCTGATTATAGAAAAAAAAATTCAGTTGAAGAAGAAGTAATCTCGCATAAATTCGAGGCAACAAAAAGAAGGTTTCCTTTTTTTAGTTTTTTTTTTACTTTTACCTCGTATTTCTTTTTTTTTTTTTTTTTTTTAAATTGCACGCACTTTTTTATTTATTTATTTTTTGTTTTTTAAATCGAATCGATAATAGAACAATAAACGCGAATAATGCAAAATTAATGAGCTACAAATATCATCGCGGGTGGTGTGTTGGTTCTAAAATATATAACAATATTATATATTTTTTATTACTTTTAAAACGATATTATATAAAGTATATATTTCTCGATTATTATTAACAGTGTTTTTTTTTTTTTTGTGCCAACTGTAATATTAAACGTGTGCCCACGAGGAGATGAACGATACGACACCCTCACCACTCTCTCTACTACCGCCCCTTTTTCCTGTAAACGTTTTTAAGAAGGGGTGGGTTCGCGTCGTTATGTACTTGAACTTTTCCAAGTTCTCTCGGTGTCGATACGCAAACGAAAATGTATAACTTTGTCCCATCAACAACAACTTTGATGAAGAATATTATAAAGTTGCCGAGTGTTGTTGTATGCGTATCGACAAATTATAATTAATATATAGATATATATATAAATTTAATAACGTAACGGTACCAAAAATGCATAATGCAATAATCTCTTACTATAAACTTAAACGAAAAGAAGAAAAAAAAACAAATAAAACAAAACCACGTTCGCGTACGCATATACACACACACACGCAGAAAATAGGTAAAAAACATAAAAAGTGTGTTTGTGCGTGTGCATGATGTGTGTATATGATAAACTCTTACATAATATTATACATATATAAATATACATATACCGAAACGGTATAAAAAATATACATATGTATGTATATAAGTATACATATATATATATATATATATATATAGTATATACTATAAGATATAATATACATAATATTTTAGTATTTTTATTAACAAGATATTATATATTACCA